GCCCATCCATAATACCATGACGTGCATTCCGTCTCCACGTCCGCTTCACTTGCTCTTTGTTGTAGTGTGCCGACCATGCTGTTCACGCCCATTTGCTCACATACTGTACATTAGAGTGATTTTGCAAAAGCAAATTTCACTGTGAAAGTAAGAGAAACTTCCACAGTGAAATTTCCTGTGGGAAATGATTTTGCAAAGGCAAAATTCTTTGTGAGCCGCAAGTGTGTACCATGACTGATGAGAGCGTTCTTCTGACTGCCTTGGCGCTTCTGCTTCACGACTCCCAGAATCACAGAGGTGACCTCTGTCCACCGCTTTCGAACCTCTCCATAAGGAGCCTCAAACGGCCTCACGTGGATTACCTCCTTGAGGAGCTCGACGTCCGTGCATCCCTTGAACCTGAACGCTGTCTTGCGCCTCAAGGCAAACTGGGCGTCAACCTCAGCGTCCTCTTCCATTCAACAATGACCAAGGTGTCTCACAGTGAAATTTGTTGTCTCTGTGAGAATTTCTGACAATGAATTTTCTGGAACAAATTTCCCTGTGGGACTCTCACAGTGATTTTCTCACAAGGATTTCTACTTTGCAAAATCACTCCATTGTCGAGGTATAAAGTACCGTTCACTCAATCGCGCATCAACGACTTTCAGCGACAAGGCAGCGGTGGGACCTACGTTTGTGACGCGGATGTCAAAGGAAAACTTCTCCATCCGTTCACAATGTACACACCTCTGAGAGACCCAAGTGGCGGCACGCATCGGTCATGACACTCTGAGGCGACGCAGCACCACCACAGGTTAGAATAGCGATGCACTTCCATACATGTTCTTCGGTCAGGCCACCTTGAACACTGCTCAGAGCGGCACCAGGAATATTCCGTCGTCTACAAAGGGAAATCCTCGTGCATGTCGATATTACATCGTCAATGTTTGGCAACAGCTCATCGCTAGAGAAAACGCGCAAGTGCTACCACCGCAGCCTGGGTTCCTGCTTCGTCGTTTTCTGTGAGAGCAGCCGCCTTGCTGGCATTACCTGTGCAATAAGTCTTTGCGGACTTTGGAATGACAGCACGGAAACCTCCATGTGTGTGCAGGCTTGTCGTACCAACTACCCCAAACTTGCATGTGGTCATTTTCGAGCACGTATTCTATCCGCTAGGCCGCAGCCTTTTCGACAATGCATCGAAGAAGGTACGATGATCTGATTTTTGGTGAAAGCACAGTCGGGTCGAAGCTGAGACTGCGTTTTCATAATCATGAGGAGTGCTCGTTCTTGCAATCATCGACGGCACGAGTTCCCAGTCCAAAGGACCGCTTGAGATGGGTAAGCTCGTGTACGGAGAACACTCGAGGTAGCAAAACGCCCAGCAACGGCAAAATTTACTTGAATTGGATGAAATCTTGCAAACTGAAAATATGAATGTTTCAACTGCCACTTGAAAAATAAGAAACCCATGGAGAATCGAACCCCTACTTCAGCAGAGAAATTCCATTTCCAAACCCTCACACTACACGGCACGTGTCAGTGCTCGTAATTATTTATAGATATTGATCATAGTATTAATCATAATATCATGACCACTTCTCCAGCTTGCACATGGCGATAGGAAGCGCTGGACCCGTCTCTCAGGACTCCCACCGACAAGTTGGACAACCGCACACAACTGCTTCCCACGCTTGCACACATCATGGGTGTACTTCACACGCTGGTAAAGAGAGGATGACGGCCGAATTTTCGCCTCCATATTGTCAATAACTTCTTTTAAGTATAAACAAGCCAAATTGCAACGCATTGGGTGATTAGCGGGCTCGTTCTGTTTTGCAGCCTTGGAGGTCGAGGGTTCAATCCCCCCCAACATTTCTACTATAGTACAGTGGTATTAAATTATCTGAATTTGTGAATAGCTGAAATCTTTTTATGCAAATGAGTCGTTCTCTGAATAGGGATTTTTGATTTCGCCACGCAAATCGGCCATCTGTCGAACTATCGTTTACTTTTTGCGTTCAACTTGACAATGTACTAGTACATCGTATTTCTAAGTTTAATTTCGACGATCAAGATCGTCCCAATTTGAAGCACAGCCTGGCAACTGGCGTTGGTATCTCCTGAGATACGATGACTTCGTCTGGCCGACGGCCGAAGCGATTACGGCACTACAACGGGAGTATTTGGAGAATGAAGCTGCTGCATCGTGGATTGCTGAGAAGAAGTGTCATGCGACGCCGTCGGGGGAGATCTGGTTCCCGGATGACGCACTCGATATGCAGATGCGTATATGTGTGGCGGCTCATGCCGGCGTCGCGGGCCACCGGAGGGACGAAGCAACACGGCATCTGTCGCGGGCATGTTCGAGTGGACATAGTTGAAGACCGATGTCAAAACATTTGTCGCCGCATGTTTGAATGGCATGGTGGTCGACGGAGAAATGATCCCGTCCTTGGGTTGAAGCGTTGCATGCGGCGAAGTCTAGTGAGCTTATTCATATCGACTGGTTGTCGCTCCCGACGTAGGGAGGCGTGTTGACAAATGTCCTTGTGGTCAAGGATGACATGAGCGGTATTGTCTGTTTGCATACCAGGATGAATGCCACCGCCGCGGGGATAGCTGCTGCGCTGATGGAGTGGTTTGATTTGTTTGGCGTTGTGAAGACGTGGGTGTCTGACTGTGTCAAAATCGAGATCATCCTCAAAGTCTCCAGGTTGTTCGGTGCGCACCATCAGTTTGTTACGTCATATTGTCCGTTGGCGGACGGGACTGTTGAAGTTGTCAATCGGGTCATTGTTCGGACCCTGAAGACACTTTGCAGTGAATGCTTTTGGAGCCGGGAGCGTGGCCCTCAATTCTACCGCTATTTCAATCTGCTTTGAACCAGCAACCGTTTGACCGTCTGATGTGGATTGCCCCTGTAACGGCCTTTACGGGACTCCCGGCGACCCCACCATTGGCTGGTATTGTACAAGTCAGAACACCCGGTTCTGTCGAGAACATCCCCACTGCCCTGTCCATCAGGTCGCAGGATGGTCCTGCAACAGTAGGAGGTTTTTTGTGCCTTTTAGAGGCTTTTTCCTCA